CCTTCGATTTCTCAAATTTTCTAGCTTTTCTCTGTTACACACATTTATTTTTCTATTTTAATGGAGAAAATTTTTAAATTCTGAATAAGTTGTTTTAAGTTTTAGGTACAGGCGGTGTAAACTGTAAAATTTTACAATTTCTGCTTTTTTGGTGCTGAATGAATTATGCTTTAAACTGCAAAATTTTGCAGTTTCATAACATGTTTTCCAGATTAATAGAATAATGCTTTGAAACTGTAACATTTTACAGTTTCAAAGCTTACTTTTCAGTTTGTTCAATATTACAAATTATTTGCTTAAACCCTACAAAAATTAAAAAATAATATACATTTTTTCCCATTGTTGTTTGTTGTTGTTATGTTTTTTAACTATAATTTCTCCATTTATTCTTTTTTTTTTTGGACAATATTCTGAATATTTCGGTAAGCCTTCGATAATGTTCTTAACATTTTCCAGTGATGTTCAGAACACTCTGGTGAACTTCTGACGCTCCGGCAACTTCCCGGTAATGTTGAATATTTTGGCGAGTCTTCGGTGAGTCTGACGGAAGTCGTTAGATGTAACAGCATTTTTAAAGTTCTGAAAAAAAATTTAAAAAAAATTGGTAACAATTAAAAATATGTAGAACTAATTAGTGCAAGTATTTTGTTTTAGAATTGAATGAATTTTAAACTTTGTGTATGAGACTTATTAGTAAGTGTCTTATAATTTTTTATTGAGCTAATAGTCCTATATTGATTTATATTTTGATAATTATTTGATCTTTTTAAACTTGGCCGATCCACGGTTTACCTTATGCCTTTCTTCTGGGCGGGCCCCCGATGGAGGATTCGCGTGGGTGATTGTCTATCATGATGCACGTTAACTTAACCATTCATGTAGTGTAAGATATTTATGGATGGTTGTGAAAAGTAAAGTCCGTGATGGGAAGGACTTTCAAGGATAACACACCATACATATTTTTTGATAATTTGATATCTGATTCATCGAAGCGACTAATCTACGAATCAACACTAACGTCCACTTGTGGAGGTTCAAAATTAAAGTCAAGATAAAACTTTATATAGACTGATTTCAAAAAAATATTTGTACTTAAGAGATTTTAAATTCGAGATCCTGAAAGGAGCACACTCTTAGAGTCTAAGTCTTAACACAACACTGAAATTTTCCGTTGACTTTGCATTTGACTGGCTTATTTCATGTTTCAACCTAGTTGAGATATGGCCTTTAAGTTATGATGCTTTTGTCTTGGTCCTTTGTATCTTCTTGATGTAATTTTTTTTGTATTTCTTGTACTTTTATTTTACATCAATGAATCTTTTTTTATTGATAAAAATAAAAAAATAAATAAAAAAGATCATTGACACACCACATATATGATGGCTAAGGTCTCTGCTCTCACACATATTCTGCAATTCAATTCCATTTAAGAGTGCATATATGGTTTTGTGTAAAGAGTAGAAGATCTACTCACGTTTATGAAGCTCATTCAAGCATAAGAACTCATCTCGTTTGAAATCCCAAACAAATTCAGCATCAATTTCACAAAAATAATATGTAAATAATGCTATAAAGGGACAACCTAATAATTTTTCGCTCTATAGATCCTACATTATTCCATCCACTATCTTATTAAATGCTAATTTGGTCAAAGACAATAAGCAATTAAATTTGAGAGCTAGTACAACAAGACTACACACACACACACTTGACTTTGGAGTGGTTAATGAAATGGAGTCAACAAATGGAAATGTATGTTTGATGACATGAGCTCCATCCTAACAATCCAACCAACATGCGTTCCCAGTTGAAAAATAACTTTTTGCCCCCAGATTGAGCCCATCAAAAAAATTTATTTTAATTTTTTTTTTTATAATGATGTGTTCTTGACTTCATGCTCATTTCATTTAGAGGGTATAGAATGGCTCTCAATCTGAAAGTTAATAATTAAAAAAATATAAGTTAAAAATAGCATTCTTACAATTGATGACTGATCAACTAAAACTATTTTTATCTCATAAATTATAAACAGAAGTTGTACAACAAAATTTACACAAACTTAAAAAAAAAAAAATTAAATAATAATAAATAACTCTAATAAGTTGTACCAAACAAGATAACGTTAAATATGAAGCAATTTGTGATATTTTTTTTAATAATTGTAAAAGTCAGCCAGTGTTGACCATGCAAGTGAGAGTAGTATTCATTAGAGAGAAGTCAAAGTTGCAGTTCCTCCAAAATTTAGGTTAGTAATTAAAAGGCTCTCTCTCCCTCTCTCAACAGACAAGATAGAACACGTAGTGATGGAGACCTCATTAAGCGTTGAAGCTCCTTTTTCACATACACCTAAAGACAAATTGTGATGTAGTGATTGAGACTTAAGCATTGATCAAACTCCTTTTTCACATATACCGATAGACAAATTGTGAGAGAAAAATGAACTGTAAATTCAAGTTCTTCTATATATATGTTATGTTATATATGAGGGTCAACACGAATGGTAAGTCATCCAAGTTCTATTTCACATGTCTTAAATTTAAATTTTGATATCTTATTTCACGCGATATGTAAGATTAGTAAATGATCATATGTATCATGAGTTTGCGCTTTCGAATATGTCCAAATTGTTTTTTTTTCTCTAGCATTGGTTCTCGATTATAAAATATATATAAATATATATTTGTTGCTTCAAAGGAACAAACACATGGAGGGCTTATTGGAACGTTGAAAGGGCAATAGATAAGTTTGAACATGTGCTGGCATTGTCATGAAACCTAACTTTGTCAGCTCAACCCCTTTGACCCTCTGAAGCTACCTAGTATTTAATATATACTTTGTCTCTTCTATCGGGAGTTTAAATCTTATTCACTTGATTAATTTTGTTAAGACTTTGGGCTGGGTTAAGACCCAAACCAAATGTCCACAGATGGTTTGACCCAATAGTTGTGATAGGAGAGTTACCTTGGTAGCTATTTCTTTATGTCTCATCATTGTAAGTAGAGGTGTTCAGCGGATATTTCCATCTGTCAAAATCGATCAAACTGAACTGATTCACCGTATTTTGAACGGATACGTAATGATGAGCAAACGGTTGCAAATTTATTTTTTTCCAATCTACCTAGTTTTGGATGGATAGCGGATTTGAGATTCTTTGGCCGCAACCGAACCATCAAACCGCGAGCACCCTAATTGTAAGATGCCATAGAGACTGGCCTTGTTTGGCTAGAGGTTATTTAACTAAAATAGTCAATAAGGTAAATTGTCACATCTAACTCATAATGATTTCATTTTTTCTCTTACTATCATCTAAAACATAACTTTTTTAGCTTAAGCAAAAATAGTCAAATAGCCAACTAAAATAGCTTATAACCAAACGGGGCCTAGTATTCTCCTTCTACATCGAACGGTCCGCCATCTTCACCTTTCAAATCAAAGGGTTCGACATATCCCCCCTCTAGATCGAAGGGTCTACCAAAATTAATGTATTTTTGTAAAAGTTTTTTCTTACACAATTGTAATTGTCACTTATGAATGAGACTAAAAAGTTGAGGGAGTTGAGAGAATGAGAGTTGATAAATGTGTTTAAAAAATGAAAGTTACCCATTATGCAAACATTTCCAGATGAAAGTTGCCCACTTGGGTGGAATCCATAACTTCCAAACCTTCTTCCACACGAAAGATCCATCCTGGACAGCAGGGGCTGCATTGCTTAATTGCAAATCCAAAGCAATCATGTATCCAAATTTGACTGTATAATCAACAGATCGGTTTGGGGCTCAAACTGGTCACCCTTATTATCCAAAAGAAGATGAATACCCTGAATATGCCTGATGCAATCCTCAGGGAAGAACACCCTAAGCAAATCCATCTGCCATCTGCAATTCTGTTCATCTATAAAATGAAACAAAGACACAGAAGAAAACCCAACCTTCTCCCTTTCAAACGATTGTGCATGGACGGTATCCATTGGTCCTCTAATGGCTCGATGGTTCTGCCATCACCTACAATCTACCTTGGACCTTTCTAAAGAGATAGGTACTCTTCCCCACAAGGTACTCTTCCATCCCAAGATCCTGAAGAGATAGGTTGTACCATCAAAAAAGCTGTAAACGACAATATTTCCCAAACAACACGCAGGCTAACAAATTATCTAGATTGGTGATAATTCTCCAAGCATGCTTAGCCAAAAGCGCTTGATTGAACAAGCTTAAATCTCTTAACCCCATCCCTCCCCCATGCTTTCGGAAGACAAATTTGACTTCATTTTTTCCAGTTGATGCCCTTATCCTCATTACAGAACCAAAGGAATTTTCTAATAATAGAATTAATTTGGTGAACAAAAGCCTTAGGGATTTTGAATAGCAAGAAGATATAAATGGGGATAGACTGCGGGACAAGTTTTACGAGGCCTGCTCTTTCAGTTAAATTCAAGAATTTACACTTCCATTCCATCCTTGAAGTCTGTTTAGAATCCTTTCCAACAGATTTTTGAACCACAGGGATTTATTCCTACAGGCAAAATCCATTCTCACTCCTACATAGACTCCAGAAAAAATCATCTTGAGTACATTTTGATCCTCTATGGTACAATTCGGACTTAAAAACAATTCTGATTTCCTAAGATTAATTTTGAGGCCCGATTGATCACAAAAGACTTGAAGGAAACCACTGAAGACACCAAATTTCTTTGAGACTAATCGCTATACCACGACAAATTCTTTGAGACTGTAAACGATTAAAATCTTCTGACAACACTAGCATTACCAAGATGAGAAGGCAAGGGGACACGGGATCCCCTTGAGGAAGGTCATCTTTGGGTTGAAAATAAGCAGAATGGTGACCATTAACAAGCACAGAAAAGGATACAGTAGAATAACACTGTTTAATAATCTGGAACCTTAACTAGCTGATGAATCAATTTGCTACGACTTTTTCATTATTATTATTATTATTATTTGAAATAAGAAACCAGTAAATATTGTTATATTAAGAAGAACGAATTAGAAAAGCTAGTAGCAAGCCCAGTCATCTGCTACAAATTTGATGCACTATTGAGAAACAGCAGATTAAAGGTCCACAGAATTTATTGACATTGCTTTCGTTCACTGGCAATGAGGACTGTCATAAAAACTTCTTGAGCCCACATACTACTAGCTACCTAAAAAGGGACCTCGATGTAAACATTTTATTGTTATGTACACTGATTGCAACAGTGCACTTTAGTCCACAAGGGACAAAGTGAAATTTGTCTTAAAATAAATTATCCATACCAGTTCAAAAAAATAAAATAATACAAAAAAAATTTACTGATTGCTAATTTGCCATATAGCCTTGAGAAGAGTCCAGTAAAACAGCACGGCACCATTAGCGGGTCCCACGGGTTGCAGCAGGGACAGATTGAACAGCAGCTAGAGGGTTCACTTGGTAAGAAAAGGCAAGCTGCCACAAGTCCACCAAAGCCTTCTTCATGGACAAAGCTTGTCTTTTGAAAATCCTGAAATAAAAATAGACTTCAATGCAATATTAAACAACCATCCCAATAAATTCAACAAAAATTGTAGAGGCATTTAGAGAGGGGGGTAGCTGGGAAGCGACTGTCGGAGGTGGAGAAGTGGCAGGGAGAGGCTTATGGAAAGGAGGCTACCAGAGGACGGGCATGGTAGGGGTGGAGGTCTAAGAAAGAAGGGTAAGATTGGGATTATGGTGGGTGTTCTCGGAAAAAATGGTGGGGATCAATTTTGGTCATGGGGTTCCAAAGAAGTGGGGGTTTCAAATTAATATGATGGGGCCATTTAGTAGCGCTCTTGATAAATCGTTGAGAACAATTTCTACCACATTTCAAAATGAAATAGAGTTGATATTCTCAGAATGTCAACCTCCAAATGGATCCATAGTCGGAGGCAGATCCACCATGGGACTAAGGGGAGCAGCTGCCCTCTCTAAATTTTTTTAAACTTCAACTTTTACTTAGTTTTAAAATTTTCTTTTCAATTTGTCCTCACTGAAATTTCATATATGCCTCCTAAATCGTTGTAATCCCTCATCTTTTATTTTTTTAACCTAATTCCTGCAAATTTCCCCCCTTAATACTGTGGTTGTTCATAGGTTGGATCGGATCAATTTTACCGCCGACTATGAAGCACGGACACGTCTCTGGAGGCAGCGTATGGGTGTCGGACACGTGTCGGACACGGACACGCGTCGGACACGCGGTAGACACGTGTCCGACACTCGACCTAACGTGTCCCCTTTTTTTTTTGAATTTTTGCAAGAGGACACTCTGTCGGACACGCAAACAGAAAGAAACCCTAACCAGACCTAACCTATTGAAGATAGAGAGAGACAGAAAGAGAAAGAGTGAGAGAGGAAGAACCTGTTGTAGCCTAGATCGAGGCTAGATCGAGTCCTCTTCGTCTCTGATCGAGGTATTTCTTTCGCGTCGCTGTTCGTCTCCTCTCTCTCTGTGTTCGTCTCTCATCGTCTTCGTCTCCTCTCTCTCTGTCCATCTCTCTCTGGTCTCGCCTCTCGCTCTCTGATCGTCACCGTCGCCTCTCGCTCTGTGTTCTCACCGTTGCCTCTCGCTCTCGCTCTCGCTCTCTGTCTCTCCCTGTTTTTTTGTTTCTAACTCTCTTCCCTCTTCCTTATTGCCGTGTCTGGCTCTCCCTCTTTATTCTTTTTTCTTTTTTCTTTTTTATGCCTTTCTTTTGTAAATAAATATAATAAATAAATACAAATAATATATTTATTTTTTAATTTTACATATAATAAATAAAATAAATAAATAAAATTAGTATATATTTTTTAATTTTACATATAATAAATAAAATAAATAAATAAAAATAAATAAAAATAGTATATATTTTTTAATTTTACATATAATATATAAAAAAAATTATATATATTGAACGTGTCCCTAGCGTGTCGTGTCCCCTATTTTTTAAAAATTTGCGTTTTTGCGTGTCCGTGTCGTGTCCGTGTCGTGTCGCGTGTCCGTGTTCGTACTTCATAGACCGCCGAGTTGAAAATACCATCATCCGATTTTTAACTGTCTTGCTCAAAATCGATCGTTTCTTATATTTAGTTGAGGTTAGTTTTGGTCTGGTTGTTAGAACACTCTTAAATGTGGATGAACACTCTTAAATGCCTTCTCTCATCAAGAAACCCCAAATGGGGGTGTTGGGTGTAAGTAGCCTAGCCCTCCGGTAGGTATAAACCACTTGTTTTTTAAAGTTTTCCCAGTTGGTCAACCAAATTTGTACCCTGGTCGACCAAATGACCAAGTTGGTTAATCAAAGTACTAACATATGTTACAAACACCACATATCTCTCATAACAATAGCTAAACGGTGCATGTCCAAATGTTGGCCTGTTCTCATATGCATAATAAAGGTTGTAAGAAACAGATAAGTTAACAATGATGAGAATGCAGTAGTTAACAGATATAAGAAAGTATATTTTCTATCCTTATCACCAATTTCACAGCTCACTGTTTAGTCATGAAAGAGCACAGTCCTCATTTCACTCTAAAGAAAAAAGGACGGGGTAGTTTATATTTGATGTTTGATTCTTAACAATCTACAATATGCTCTCTCTCCACAGGATATTGCACATCATAGCTAACAAGTAACAACCAAAGTAAACATCCAAAACCAAAGGAGACATAAATCCTTTTTTGACTGTTGATATTGATGGCTTGCATAGAGCAAGTAAAAAAAAATGAAAAAGTATATCATAACCAGCAGAACAACCAACATGGAAAGCACCACTTACCTCTTTAATGTGGCTTGCTTCCTCTGCAAAACATAATACAAGAGAATCATAAAACAGCCAAGTACAATTTTCCCATTTGATATGACCAGCTGACCATTGCCAAACTTAAACGTGATTGTACGGAACCACCAAAAGCATGGAACTCTTTGAGACAATTTTAAAACTGCTCGTTTCATATCATTCCCTCCTTTGAATGGGTATGAGGCTTTGAAGGCTTCTGGAGATCCCTCAGATGTGTTTTGTTGTTTTAGAGAAGAACGAGTCTCATGTTTGTCACCTGGCAAAGCTACGACAGAACCTTGTGATGATACATGGGCCTTGGGAGAATAAAGAGAGTGTAATCTCCTCAAAAGGTCCTACAAGAAGAATTAGGAGAACAATTAAGTAGGGTGAAAAAACAGAAGAAAATGCAATGTATTGTAGCAATTTACTAATACCGGCCCAACTGATAAAAATAAGGGAGATAAAACCTGCTGAGATAGGGGTGGCTTTCGGGCGGTTTTGTAGTGTCCCACCCACGCCTAGTATCTATGATGCACGGACAAAGACACGGGACACAACACGGATACAAGGACATGCAAATTTTCAAAAAATAGGGGACATGACACGCTAGGGACATGCTCAATATATTTTATAAATAAAAAGAATTTTTTCTATTTATGTTCAGATTCAACAAAAATATTCAAAAAATAGAAAAAAGAAAAAAAGGGTAAAAAAGGGTTTTGTTCAAAAAAAAAAGTATTAAAAAAGAAAGAAGAAACAAATACATAGAGAGAGAGAGAGAGAGTGTGTGTGAGTGGCACACAGAGTCAGAGAAAAGGGGTCAAACACAGCGAAAGAGGAGAGTGAGTTGAGAGAAAGAGTCGTCGAACAAAGAGAGAGGGAGAACTGAGTCGAACACACAGAGAGCAAGAGAGAGTCGAACACACATAGCAAGAGAGAGATAGAGAGAGAACAAACATCAGAGAGAGATGAACAAAAACGAAGAAGAAAAATGAAGAAAAGAACATACCTCAATCTAGGGCTGAGGGCTTCAACAGGTTCTTATTCTCTCTCTCTCTCTCTCTCTCTGCGTGTGTCTTCGATGGGTTAGGGTTTCTCCCTCTATCTCCAATGTGTCCCCAAGCGTGTCCGGCTAGACAAATTCAAAAAAAAAAGGGGGACAAGCTAGGTGGGACACGCCAGGTAGAGTGTCCGACACGTGTCAGACACCCATACACTGCCTCCAAAGAGGTGTCCGTGCTTCATAGCCTGGTATCATATAGGGGGTGGGCCAAATCGGGGAGATGGTGGGAACAAAGAGAGGTGGGGGCAGATTAATTTTGTAACTTCAAAAATGGGAATACCAACAAAAATTAGAGATAGAATAGAATTATAAATAATGATTAATTAAAAGATATAATATGAGAAATAAATGAATACAGATGAATGCTAAGTAATATTTTAGTGTTTTAATCTTATTATACTCAAAAAATTAAATTATATATACACTACACACACATATTTAATAAATATAATCAGTGCGGGGGTGGGGGCGTGAGGCCCACCCACTTCCTCATCGGGGTGAGATTGGGGGATGCAAGCGTAGAGCAGAGCAGGAAAAATTGTCATCCCTAGGCAAACTTTCTAATTAAGAAATGAATGTAGTATCCGCATTAGAAAGGATAACTGTAAACCGAATAGTACAGAAAAGTAATGCAGGTCCTTGCAATTCTTTTTAGCCACACCTTTCATGCTTTAAGAAGCTGTAGAGACTGAATTGACCCCTTATTTTGAGGGCCAAGAAGTTGCAGGAAAAGAAAAATAAAAAATGGAATTCAAAACAGATTAGACATGCCACTTTTGATTACCTCGAAGATGTGAAACAGATAAGAAAATCAGATTCTTATTATAAGAAACTCTAGAAAAAACTAGTAAGATTCCGTATACCATTTTCTATTCCTACAAAGCTACAACAGCCTTATATAAGAATAAAAATAAAAAAATTCTACCCCTCAAAATTGGGAGATTCTTTTTCCCAAAAAAAAAAAAGAACAAGAAAAATAATAGTAGGCTTTCAAACACAAGATTGGTTCTTCAACATCACTTAACTAAAAGCATAGATGTAAGAACCAGATTATAATCAACAACTCATGCAGAACAAACCTCATGCAGAGAATGGGAACCAAATGGAGACAGACTGAAATTATTTATGGGCATAACAGAGGATTTGTTGCATAATCAATTTTGGGTCAATTTCAATTTTACAGTAGTTTTAAGCTAAAATATTATTAGCATAGTTTTACTTATGCTTTCTTATGTTTGTACCATTAATGATATTTTTATTTTTACTTCTGGTATATCAAAAAATAATAATTTTGTGATTTCTGGATTGCTAGGCAAGTTCTGGTCCATGGGCTTCGGTACAATTATATTACTAACTCCAGTTCCAGAGCAGTCTTGGCATTTTTTTTCTTATTGCAGTTTCCAATGTAGTACTACTCTTAAAAAGTAGTCCAGAAACATTAGTCTTTTGAATACATAATGTTAAAACCTACCATCACCTACTCCACCTACCACCACCTACTACCACCTACTCCACACCTACCACTACCACCTACTACCACCTACTCCACTACATCTCCTATATAAGGAGCCCCTCACCATTTGTAATATACAGAATACAACAATCAATAATACATCAATTTTAACACATAATACTGTAAGAATTTGAGAGAAAGTGAAATTTTATGATCTAATGTAGAGATGAAACCAAAGGAATTCTAGGTAAGAACCCAAAAAATTCTTTTTGTTTTTCCTTTTTTTCGTCTCAATATGTGAGATTTAGCACTCAACATCTTTGATTTTCATTCTGGAACAAAAGATTCCATAATGTTAAATCATTTTCCCTACCCATTTAACCTTTAATTGAACACTAAGAACCATAAATGGTTGCTGTTGGGACCAAGCATATTGCATTCCTTCAGTTATAATGCTCAGTAGCATTTTGCAACCTAGTGAAAAAGTTCCAACATTTGCATACAATGTTTCTAAATGTAGCCAAAAGTTATTCCAAGGTTTCTCTTGGTTGCTTAGTTCATGCCGACCGTCTGGCATCACCATGGGAACCCCTCCTAGTAACTGTCGAATATGAACACTTAGATATAAAAAATCAAAATTTTTCCAAAAAGACTTAACCCTATATACTCCATACATCAATAAGGAAAATAAATAAAATAAAATAACATTATACTTCTTGAATGGAACATAATTTAAGTGCAAGGCCAGGATTTTGAAACATAGATTTCTACAATCCAAGTCAAGGATTGACAACAATGATTACAAACTAACGCTAAACAAAGAAATGGTAACCATATAAATGACCTCTTTTTTGTTGTTGTAATAATAACCTCAAATCATCCTAACAATGATGAAGTTCAGATTAAGATGAGTGAGCTTATTTTACCTGTCGCTTTTCCTCAGGTAATGTGGCTTTCTCAACCCAACAGATAGCATGGTCTATGTCTCTCAAAACCATCCCAAGAAGTGTTATAACATAGACTTCAACAACTTCCAAGTACTTGTCAACTTCTAGCAAAAAAGAACCACTAGATCCTTCCATATAATCCATATTTGATTCTAAACTTGCAAGAACATAGTATCGTTCATCCAAAAATCTCCACTTGCTAAGAAATTCCTCAAGAAATTCTTGAGTCCCCGAACAAGGACCTTCCGATATCTGAAAACACACCCTGAAAAATAAAAATAAAAAGAAATTGTACAATTGTTGCACCCAACTTGTTAAAAATTACTTCCTCCAGAAGATATGTTTGCCATGACACCTATTACCGTGACCTCTTAGAATAATTACTTATAACACAGACCACAAAATTGAGTATGGGTAAGCATTTGGCCTAGAAAGCTTACTGTTCCAACATTCACGCAACATGTGTTGTCTACATAAAAATTTAAGTCCTAACATCCATCCTATTGACACATCAACATGGGTTAAGTAACCACATAATAGCAGCATACACACTTCACATTACCAAAGGTAAAGGTGGATGTAAGTATATAACAGACATTAATACAACAATGTCCTCACATCCTAAGTTGTGTGTAGCATAGACATCATGAGAAAACTCATGATCTAATAGAGGCTGCATGTTCCATCATGAGTAAATTAGCAGAAAAATAAAGAGAGTTTTCAAGAAGGCACTTTAATACTATGTTTGGGAATTTAGGAGAAAAAAGAAAAGAAATGATTACTTAAGTTATAAGAGAAAAGAAATGATTGTAATTTCTCTCTTTCTTGTTTGGATTAGTAAGAAATAAAAGAAAAGAAATGATTGTAATTTCTTTCATTCTTGTTTGGTTAGATTTCATAAAAGAAAAGAAAAGAAAAGAAATTGTTTTATGTTATATTACCAAAAGCCCTTGAGGACATGGGTGTCAATCTTTTTATTTCTTTTATTTTTAGAAGGGCAAAATTGGTATTATAAAAATACAAGAATCTGTTAGTATCTTTTCTCTCCCAATCTCTCTACTTTTAGAAAGATTGAAAATAAGGGTTATAAAAGAAATGGGTTTCTCTCCATTTCTCTCTACTTAAGTTATTCAAACAAGTAAGAGAAATACATATCTCTCCCTTTCTTTTCTTTTCTCTCCAAATCACTCAATCCAAATATAGTGCAAAATTAAATTGAATTGGAGGAGTTTAATATTGTGTGTGTGTGTGTGTACTTGTGCTGCTCCTTTCCTTTCCCTGTTCTTTTTCTTTCTTTTTTTTTTTTTTTTTTTTTTTGGACAGGTTATGGAAAAGGCATATGAGTAGCTTTTGGCAATTCCTAAAATATAGTGATATTTTCCCTCAACAAAAATATCATTTCATGCATTTAATACTTCTATCAAAATATTTATTCAAGAAAATTCAAAATATATAACTTCCCAAGCAAAGAGTGCCCTCCACATGCTCTTCCGGTTAAACGGAATTTTTGACATCATGTTTCTCTTAACACATTGTTTTAGTTTTATGGGCAAAATCCTCTTTGTCCCCCGGTGGTTTTAGTTTAGAGCACTTTACCCCCCTAACATTTAAATACATGCAAACACCCATTTTGGCTTGTTGCATTTTACCTCCTTGTTACTAATTCCATCCAAACTAAAGTATGGCACATGCTTATTTGGAGAGTCGCCATGAAAAAAAGAAATGAGTCAAAGACAAATTTCAATGTACAAAGACAATTATGCCGTTGTACTCATCATCTTCCTCATTTGAAAAAGTTAACCTAAAAATGCAAACCTTAACCCTAACACACCCATCCCACTACCTCCACCTTCAGCCCCACTACCACCTCCCCGCCACCACCAACTGCCTCCACAACAACAGTCACCCCACCTTCCCACCACCCAATCTCCCATCCTTCGCCAACACTGCCTTCCCCACTTGTTCTCACAACTACCTCCCTGCTAATATGTGGTTAGGTTGTGTTAATAATAACATATGATTTATTTAGTTAATAAGTGGTTTAACTTAGAAATTATGTCTAAGAGAGGAGAAAGAATAGAATATAAGAGAAAAGAAAGCAATGAGGGCATTAAGATCATTTTACACGTACTAAAATTAGCATTGCATTTTGGTCCACTACTACATGAGGTTCTTTGCATATATTTAAATGTCAGGGGGGGTTAGCGTGCTGTAGACCAAAACCATTGTGGGATAAAGAGAATTTTTGCCCTATTTTTATTTACAAGCAAAATCCTATTGTAAGGCACTTCAGGACTGAAAAAGGAGAAAAAAAAAATAAGAGGCATTTTTTTAAACAGGTCAAAAGATGCACCAAAAATTGTTTAAGGATGAAAAATTCTATCTCCAGGAGCATTGTTGTCAACAATGCTTGTATTTACAAGTTGATTTGAATCACATAGACATTTAAGTTTATTGTAAACCCTCAACACATGAGATGACAAAATTTCAAAACTCAGTTGGAAAATTTGGTCCCAAAAACAGACTTTGAACTGAATTGAAAAGTAACATGTAAAAGAGTCAAGAGATACCCAGCTAGAAAAACTTGAACAGGAATGTCAGTGACTGAACCAAACAACAGCAAAAGCTCATTTAATATGTCTTGTGTCCTGCCATTAGAAAGAATCACAAAAATCATAATTAGGACTTGAAACACGTATATGAAAAATAAAATGAAACATGTAATGATATTAGGCTTTTAAAATCATAATTAGAATTTTAAAGTTATGCATTGTGTACATGTATATGAAAAATAAAATGATATTAGATGGCGATCAGGCTGAAATAGCAACTTGAAACATTTAATGTGCACACACATGCAACCAAGCACATAAGCATAAGGAGACACAAAGAATACACCCCACAGAGAAAAATGTGCAGGCACATACACACATACTCCTACTTATTAATGGAGTCTCAATCAAAGTTAATAATGTCAAGCAGACCTTGTGATCAATGTATCCCTACCCTATCATTCATATGAAGGGTAAACTCACACAAGACATCAATAATGCAATTAAATCGGAATGAATGAACAATAGTGCTGTTAACTGTCATCTTGGGACTTGGGAGTATACCCCATCAAGATTCATGGACGAGAGCGATACTTCGAATCTTGATTTCATCCACAACAAGACATCAACCAAAGAACTGACGAGAAGCAAGTGTGCAAACTGGCAGTGCAAAAACATCACCTCTTGAACAGACACTATCAGATAAAACAAAAGGCTGCGAAGTGCCTTGATCAAGTAGTACCACCGTATTTTTCACATAAAATATTGGACCAATATTAAAAATCCAAGAAACATCAGTAAAATATGCATGTGGTCCACATATTCAAGAACGGCTAAAACATGCTCGAGAGATGTGAGAGTGAAATAATTCTTTGGACCAGACTTTTGTTGCAACAGAGTGATGATACAAACGCCATGATCACAAAAATAAGAGAAATTTCTTCAAAAGAGCTATTAAAATCAACTGAAGGAACTAGATTAAGAGACTCATGAGATGGATGCTCATAGATAATATGGAGAATATTCTCACCATCAAATACAGAGGTAGGGGTAACAGGCTCATGAGTAAAGTTATGTTTACATGTTTCCACCCACTGGTCTAGGTCAAAGATGTAGAAACTATCATGATAAAATGCCGACTTTCAACTTCATGAACTAGAGAGAATATTCCGAGAATTTGTAAATAAGTTAAAAATCAATCAGGAAGTGCTATGCTTCTTCACTTCTTTTTTCCCCATACAGTGTTCCTTTGTAATTGTACATTGTTGTATAGTTAACTTTGCATTGTAATTGCGCTTAATGGTAACGATTCATTGCAATCAACTGTAGTAGTCATCCACAAATGTAATATTTTTTTAATTTTAAAAATTAAAAAAAAAAACCACAATTTTTTTTTTTTTTTCTGTTAGAGTGGTGAATATATAGAGAATAAAGAACTTGTGAGAACCCGATATAAAAAATAAATAAATAAAATAAAGATAATATTTATGATAATATTATAATACTTTCATAAATATCAAACTACTTTCTTGAATCCTAAAGTGTCAATTCATATTATTGAAGGGTATTTTAATTAAGTTTAAACCTATAGTAAATTTATGATGTAAGTCTATAATTAAGAGGCAAGGTTTTAAATAATAATAATAAACTTTAAAAAAAAATAAAAATAAAAAATAAAAAGAAAAGAGAGAGACCGGTTATGCAAGTGTTTTGGAAAACCCTAAGCTCTCATATTATTTCCACTACTCGCAGTCATGTGTGGCCAAGGGAAGAGAGAGAGAGAGAGAGAGAGAGAGAGAGAGAAGTCATAGCCAAGGGAAGGGATAGCTTTGGGTGTGTTGTAGCCGTGTGTGGCTATCTAGGAGGTAGGCACCTAGTTTTCTTTCTCCTTTTCCTTGTTCTTCATCTTTTATTCCATTTTTCCGTAACTATCAATTCTTGCTTATTGCTTGACTAAATAGGTGTTTGAGAGGTGGATTCCTTATACTACTTTATTGATGATTGCATGTGGTAAATGAGTGCACTTTAGCTTGGAGTTGCTTTGTTTATTATCCCTTTTAGTAACTTTTGCGTGAGTAATAATGTGTAGTTTTTCACACTTTGTTCAGGGCACTAGTTGGACTTTCATATTCTTTACAAGGATTGTATTGTTCCCTTGTTAAGTGAGTAGTTGCATGCTACGTATTTTAATAATGTTCCCTTAACCTAATCTATTTGAAAAGTGAACTATCATTTCGTGACTAAACTTTCTTGGTAAATTTATTATTATATCACTGGAACTAAGACATGCTTGTAATAGTAAATTATCTTGTTTTATGAAATTGAATCATTCTGATTATATGAGGACCATATGTGAAAAGTCCAACAAACTTATTCCATTGTGTGTGGTGACTCTAACCACTAGAGAATAGATCCAGATTAGGCTGTGATGACTCAAGTGCTCAACAATTGTAACTAATAAATTTGGGTTAGGTTGGGTGACCTTCAATCAGATTGTCTTTAGAGAAAAGATCCAACATGTCATCCCGAGAATGACTCTTTGCTCAATGTTGAAACCATAGGGCTTTGTTGCTTTGAGAACTTTGTGGCATTTGTTAGTTGTTATTCTTTGGTACCCAGATTATGAATAAGGTTATGCAATTGCTATTTTAAGTGGAGACAAGTACTTGTTATGCTTTTTCTAAGACACTATAAGGTTTTAATTTTGAACTGTGGAACCCAATTCTTTGAACAGTATTTTTATCAAAATTGTGTATGAAACTAGTTCCTGTCCTATACTTTTTATTTTGGAATTGAAACTTGTGTCAATTGACTTAGTTATATAACATTTTCAAATGAGAGGACTTAGAATTGGACTCATGGCTTGGCAGGGACTCTATTGCATGGACTTCTAGGACAATTTTTTACCTAGTTATGTCAATCATTGTACATATACATTTTGGTTTGAGTATTATTTAGAATTGTTTTATTGCGTGGTTTATTTGTGTCCACTTGGTATAATTCTCGAGTTGGTTAGGGCTAGTTCTGCCCATTTATTATTTTGACTTGTCATTGGAACGAGTATTGGTTTGTTTATGACATTAGGCTATAATTGCATTATTTAGTGTATGATTATGGATTCTTGTTTAGGCATACGCGTGCATTGGGCTAAGGCTTATGGCCCACGGCCTGTCATACCTTAGATTTGGGGTGTGACAAAACTTAGAAGGGAACATAACGCATCCTACCAGAGACACTAATGAAGACATCACCAGGAAAGAAGAAATCTAGAAGCAATATGTATAGATGAATTATGGCACCTCCTAAGCTCCTTCCAGGATTGAACTAGCACCATACTGGCTGATTCCAACATGTCATTCAATTGAGTTTCTTCTCCAGCTTTAATGAACTTATTATGACATAAATCCCTTAGAACAGAAGAGGCAATTGATGTTGCTTCCTCATACATGCAGGAAACAAGGTAGCTGCAAACAAAAACAACAATAAATAAATAGATTACCGATACTGAACAATTAAAACCCATTTTTCATTATTACTACTATATAAGTATGTATTATCATCACAAATCTACCTAATAGTGTAAGTGAACAAGAGGGATCACCGGTATGCTAGATAATTATTTATCTCATATAGTCATAAACATATAGGCACAACACATATATGAGGAATGGGTATCATAGAATTAATCTTCCCAAAATTATATGAGCATGTTTGTTTGTTTTCCTAGAAAAACTTTGGAACAATTTTGAACTACTATGTAAATAACCTATTTTCTCCATTCTCATTAAAATGCATGTATGCATTACTCTGGCCTCGTTTGGGAAGTGGCTATTTTAGTAGGCTATTTGGCTATTTGGCTATTTTAGTGGCTATTTTAGTTTTTGTGTTTGGGAAGATGAGATGATTTTTTAGTTGAGTTATTGTATTGAAAAGTGTGTTGAAATGATGTTTAAATTTAAAATGACAAATTTATCCCTAAAAATATATTTTTTTAAATTGATATCAAGGGGTAAAATGGTAATTTAATTATTGATGGGACAAAGGTTGTAGCTGACAGTGTAGGCACAGCCTACACTGCCGGCTGTGCAGAATTTTTTTTTTTTTTTTTTTTTTTTTTTGAAAAAGGTTGCAACAGTGTTGCTTTTAGGCTAATTTGTCAAAATAGGCTATAATAGCCTTATTTGGTGCTTCCCAAACAGCGCCTCTGTGTGTGTGTGTGTGTGTGAGAGCGCACGTGTTTGGGTTGTTATTGTAATATTAATGGCTTATTGCTTTCAGATAAACAAAAACACTTGAAATTCAAGAAATTTAATGCAAATTTAGAACAATTTTGGCAATCAACAAGACTAAGAATGTGGGTATGTTTCCGTTTTTAATTGAATTAAGATATTAGTAACCAAAGGGCACTTCAGAAAACTAAATGGTTACTGAAATGGTTATTTATTAATAGTCCTGCTCCAGGAAGCAACCCACGTCATACAAAGCAATAACCTAGGCTTCAATTGATGTGCATAAGAGTAAACATCCAAAACAGAGTAAACACATTCAACTTCCCCGATTGCAAGAGAAAAATAAATTGCAAATTTTGAATCTCAAATATGATTATGATCATTTCATATTTGGGATTGGGAAATCTTTTTTTTTTAAAGAGAGAGAAATCATGGAATTATCAGCAGAAATAACCCCAAAAAAATCAGGAAACTGACCTTTCAGAACGTTCGATTTCTTCCCAGATTGCATGGTTAGAAGCAGAGATGGAGATGGCCATCTCTGTACAATTCTCTCTCTCCCTCTGCAATTCAATAGGTCCAAAAAAGAGTTAGCACGAAGGAGCGGATTAGGGGTGGAAGAATGGATTTTATTTTAATTCTAACACAACTCCCTAACGGAAAATGAAGATCTAGCAAATTGATAGAGACAAGAGATGGAAGCAAGGTCACCAACACAAATATTGATAGATCTTCATTTTCTGGTCGGGATTTCTTTGCGCTATATAATTTGGGTTTCTTGAATGTATATGTGGTAATTTTTGTACAAAAATGGATTTTATTTTGAGAAAAATGCATCTTAGGGAGTTGTGTTAGAATTAAAAACCCCAAAAAGTGTTATTTATCAACAACAACAAAAAAAACAAAACAAAACGTAAGTGTTATATTTATGAGATTTGATAAATTTTGATACACATTACAATGCTTGACATGAGATTGAGAAATTAGTGAACAATAAATTGGGGCTTTTATTTGTCTAACAATAAAAAGTGTATAAGTTATCATGTTAGATAATTTTATGAAGGGTTGTGTGATTATTAAAGTTAGGAAAAAAAATACCCACCCCAAAAAAAGTTGGAAAAAAATTAGCTATTTGAATAGCTTGAAATTAAATGTGAATAGATTCGAGAGATGAAAACCTTTAGACTAGATTTGGTATTTTTTGTTTAATTTCGGGATATGTTATGGCTACTAATTTTATTGATATAATTAGTTGGAAAACTCTGCAATACATATGGTATGCAATGCTTATATATATTTGTCGTATCAATTATATTATGTAATTTTAGGGTTTATATTATGTATATATGTAGTTTTAGTACATAAATTATTTTCAAGGTAACCTGTTTAGCAGGTTACCAAGAAGGTCACCAATATTAAAATAATAAATTATACTAGTTATGGCGTAATAGAACTACAAAATTTCATAACTAATCTTTAAAAATACATAATACTACCATAAATGTGTAAAAAAAAAATAAAAAAAAAAACCATTAAATTATGTAACGGATCATTCAGTGTTGTAACGAACTATACTTTAGCATAACTTGTGTGTTTTAACTCAAAAAATCACTACAGAAGGCATAATAGAACTACAAAATTGAGTAATGAATCCCCAAAAATACGTAACAGTACCATTAATATGCGTAAAAGTTAAAAAAATTAGAAAAAACCATTAAAGTATGTAGCAGATCATTAAGTGTCGTAACTCACTATAACCATAAATAATGAACTACACTTTGGCATAACTTGTGATTTTTTACAAACTCAAAAAATCACTAGTTATGGCGTAATAGAATCACAAAATTACGTAACGAATCCACAAAAATATGTAACGCTACCATTAATATTCGTAAAAGTTTAAAAAATTAGAAAAAATATTAAAGTACATAGCGGCTATGTTATGCGGACGCGGGTACGGGTATCGGGTGCGGGTGCGTATTTAGGGGTTGGACACTTCAAAATTAAAAATTAAGGATGAGTGGATATGTATCCAAATTTGGATACGGGTACGGGTATACGTTAAATGTATATATATTTTTTTTTAAATATAGTTATTAAGATGAGTTATATTATATAAATAACAAATAAGTATTTTACATATATGTGTTTATTTATTTTTATTAATATATATAAGTATATATTATCTTCTAAATATATTATATGTTATACAATAATTATTATATAATATATAATAATAATTGTTATTATTATAGTTATTATAATAATAGTTATTAACTATTATTATTTTATATAGATATATACGAATAGATATAGATGTGAATCAAGAGATGTCAATCAATAAAGTCAAGAATAAAACGAGAGAGAGAGAGAGAGAGGGAGAGAAGCGAAGCGATCGATCGATCGCGATTGCGATCACGAGGGAGAGAGAGAAAGAGAGAGAGAGAGAGAGAGAGTCGTCTGGGGTGTTCGACTGTTCAATCGACTGATGGAGCTTCGATCTTCGACTGGATCGACATCGATTTCAACCAAGTTCTCTCTTGCTCTCTCCTCTTTCATTTCTTTTACTGTCTGTAAAGAGCCGTGTCCGAGAGAGAACAGCCGAATCCAACACAGATCCCACACCGGCACCCGTGTCGTGTCGTGTCAACACGGGTACTTCGCCCCAAAGTGCCGAGTCCATGTAACACAGCGTAGCGGATCATTAAGTGTCGTAACTTACCATAACCATAAATAATGAACTATACTTTGAAATAACTTGTGCATTTTATATCAAAAAATACTGATTATGGCATAATAGAACTATAAAATTGCATAACGAATCCACAAAAATACGTAACATTATCGTTAATATGCATAAAAATTAGAAAAAAACCATAAGTACGTAGCAGATCATTAAGTGTCATAACTCACCATAACCATAAATAATGAACTACACTTTGAAAAAACTTGGACATTTTATATCAAAAAAACCACTCGGAATGGCGTAATAGAACTACAAAATTATGTAACGAATGCACAAAAATACGTAATGCTACCATTAATATACATAAAAGTTTAAAAAATTAGAAAAAACCATTAAAGTACATAGCGAATCATTTAGTGTCGTAACTCACCATAATCATAAATAATGAACTATATTTTGAAATAACTTGTGCATTTTTATATCAAAAAAACACTAGTTATGGCATAATAGAACTACAAAATTGCGTAATGAATCCAAAAAACTACGTAACGCTACCATCCCTTTCACTTAAGTGTTTTCTTATAATAAATCTTAGCCTGGTGTGTTTTGTACGTGTTGTAGTGAGGTCATATGCAGGAGCGCTTGATTGTGACATAAACCTTCTCTCTTTTTTTGGGCAATCTAGAAAGGGTTCAAACCCCAATACATGGCTCCCAAGGTTCTAAAATACAATTATGGTCCAGTGGTAGATGCCTCTACAGTGCTAGAGTAATCCTCTACATTATATTGTATGTTGCTCCACTAGCAAATCTGCATCTCTTTTTATGAAATTGGCACTCTTCTTTATGTTTTTAAAATATAGGGTAAATTATACTAACACCCCCTTAGGTTTCTATTTAATACAGATTCCCTCTCACGTTTGAAAAATTATACTTACCCCCCTGTCAAATTAAAATGACATATTTACCCCTTAGCCTATATACATATAAAATAATAAAATAATACAGATATTTTGTTCATGTCATTTCAAGAGAAATAACAATCATCTTCTTTGGTTTAACTCACACGCAAAAATTGAATTTTTTTATGTTTTGTGTTTTTTTATTTTTACTAAAAAAAATTTTCTAAAAATATTTTAAGTACTTTTTTATTTTTTAGATACACCTAATCTAGATATACTTAAGAAGTATAATATTTTGTAATTTTTTTTTAAATTCATCAAATACAAAAAATATAAAAATTCAGTAATACTATAATAAAATGTGAATTACGGTGTTTGGTAATACTGTAATAAATGTGAGTGAATAGACAAGAACGAAAAATGCTAGTGGAAATAAAAATAAAAAATTCTATTCATATATAAAAATTTATACAAAAAATATCATAAAAATATTGTGATAGTGATATTGTAAATATCAATCATGTTTATGGATGTTTTGTTTTAAAGTAAATGTCACCATTAAGCTATATCATTGTGTCTGAACATTTTATATAAAATTTATGTTTGTATATCATCACTCAATAAGAATATGTTCAGGTCAAATTTAATGATGGAAAGTTGTAGAACGTAGTCATGATTATAGGAAGAAGAACTGGTAGGAAAAATGGCAAAATGGTCATTTAGAAAATTTTAGGGCATAACTTCAACAATCCAAGGGGCAATTTGCAATAAGATTACAAACCTCAGGGAGGGGAATGTAATTTTTCAAACGTAAGACAGAGTCTGTATTAAATAGAAACCTCAAGTCAATGTAATTTACCCTAAAATATAAGAACAGAAAGTGAGAATTGCAAAATTTAATCTATGTATCAAATTCAACAATTTATTTTAAATAGTTTATCCATGTTCTTCAAATTAAAATCTCCTTTTGGTTATTCGTATAGCTAAGAAAAGTAATCTTGAGCTTTATGTAATCTGTCTTAACTTATGTTTTGGTTTGGTAGTAAATTATCCAAAACTTAACTATGTCCAATCATAGAATGTCCGGTATAGATATTTTTCTACATATTTGTTAATGTCTTCATGAAATATTATTGACATTGTATTATAAAGTCTAAAAAAAAGCAAACAAATAAAATAGCACACCCACCAATGCCCTGTTATCAATTAAAAGCAACCAAATAAATCGGCACACTGTCAGTGCCTTGCTATCACTTAAAAGCAAGCAAATACAAACGAACAAATAAATTGGCACACCCACCAGTGCCCTGCTATCAATTAAAAGCAAAAAATAAATTGGCACACCCACCAGTGCCTTATATCAATTAAAAGCAACCAAATAAATTGGCACACTCGTTAGTGCCCTGCTATCACTCAAAAGCAAGCAAATACAAACAAACAAATAAATTGACACACCCGCCAATGCCCTAATAATACTCTGCTATCAATTAAAAGTAAACAAATAAATTGGCCCACCCACTAGCTATGAAGCATAGACACGGCAAAATCAACGCCGTGGCGGTGTCGGACACGGGGACACACTGGGGACACGCCGGGGACACGTACGGGACACACCATCTGCCATGTCCCTTTAATTTAATTGTTTTTCTTGTAGGGGACACGCGTGTCCAGATCTGGACACGGCGTGAGGCATAGCAAGGAGGGAGAAACAAAGGAGAGAGTGTGAAGGAAGAGAGTGAAGAGAGACAAACCTGTCGAAGATCGAAGCTCCATGAATCCAGTTGAAGATCGAAGCTCCAAGCTCCATCAGTCGATCGAACACCCCACACGATCGCGATCTGTCTCTCTCAGATCGAAGCTCCAAGCTCCATCAGTCGATCGAACATCCCAGACGATCGCGATCTGTCTCTCTCTCTCTCGCCTTCACAATCTCTCTCTCTCTCTCTCTCTCTCTCTCTCTCTCTCTCTCTCGCGCGATCGCGACCTTGACCTCGACCCTATCTCCCTCACTCTCTCTCCCTTGCATCTGTCGTTTTATCTGAGAGGGTTTATTGATTATATAATGACTATTATTATTATATATTATATAATAGTTATTATATAACATATTATTATATATTATATAATAGTTATTATATATCATATAATATATTTAATACATATTGTAAGATAATATATATTCATGCATATTAATAAAAAAAATAAATAAACAGATGTATATAAAATAAAATAAAAAAATTAATTATTTAAAAAATATAATAAATAAATAAAATAATTAATGTGTATTAAAATAAAAATATTTATAAAAAAATTAAAAAAATTTGTCGTGTCCCCTGCCGTGTCCGTGTCTCTATTTTTTAGAAATTGCTGTGTCCCGTATCCGTGTCCGTGTCCGTGCTTCATAGCCCACCAGTGCCCTGCTATCAATTAAAAGCAATCAAATACATTAGCACACTTGCCAGTGCCGATGCTAGGGTAAAGAGAGTTATACCTCTACTTGTACGTAAATATGATGAAATTGAGGACCTGTAACAAAAGAAAACAAAACATGAACATGGGAATTACTAAAAAGGACTATGCTTAAGGAAATTTATGATTATGGGGAGAAAGGGAAGAGTATATGTACAACAAATATCATTTTGCACATATCCTTTCACATTAGCAAACTGCATAACTAATAAAGAAGATGAAACTTGTAATACATTTGTTCAAAGTATCAATACCCATTACGCGAAAACTTAAACGAACGTACCAAATCCAACCCCTCAACCAATTAAAAACAAATAAATAAAAAAAGCTACCAAAAAAACTAGGACAACAATTACAACCAAATATCAGGGCCATGTTATGGATAATTCTGCAAAACAACGTTTTATTTCACCAATTAATTTCCCCCCATTTTTTTCCCTTCCCCCCTTTCTCTTCTCTTGATTTGCCCTAGCTATTGTTGCACCTCTGTTATCTCTCTCTCTCAAGCACCTCTCTTTAGCTCAGCTCATTGCATGGAGCACTGCCGAAATGGCCAATTGATAGCCACCCGTCATTCTCCCTTCTCAAGCCCTCTCATTGGCTTCTCAATCTGTAACGCCCCCCAAAATAATACAATAAATACAACCCAAACGCATATTAATAACAGCATGAATTTGGGTAAATAGTCTTTTCATTACATAAAGTTAATAATACAAAAGAGTTTAACAGAATTAAATGCCCTATTGGCTTACATCTTTCCAAGCCTTGACTTGGTTACACAAAAAGGAGACTAGCTTATATACATTTAGCCCTAGGCTTTACAAAAATATACAATTCAGTTAAAGAAGCTCTCGCTCCCAAAATGTCCCTCCAAGCTATTGCCTTGGTGGAAGTAAGTCACCAACACCTAAAAATGTTATTCCCAAATAGGGTGAGCCACAGCCTAATAGAAATCATCTAATATAGGGGGTGTTTGGCAAGGAAAAAAATAGCCTAGTTTAAGCTAAAATTCACAAAAAGACAAAATAGGCTAAAATAGCTAATAAGACAATATCACATCAAACCCATAATCATTTCACTTTTTCTCTCACAAACAACTACAAAAAAATCCAATCATCTTCCCAAACACAAAAATTTTAACCTACCAAAATAGCCAAAAACTAAAACAACCTACTAAAATAACAACTTCCCAAACGAAGCCATAGTATATGAAATTTAGCACAGGTATAAATACAAATGTATAGACAATGCTTTTGATAAAAAATTTCACAACTTTTTATGTATTCATAAGATATCAATTTCAAGCATTAACCCACTTACTTTCAATCCACATTTCGATTACTTATCTTTCTCAATTCACGAGTCAATTTCATTGTTTCACAACAACCGAATTGAGACTACAACTTAATTATTTTCAATTCACACAACACATATGCACAAACACTCCAAACTTCCATTTCACGGATATTTTGTCCGCGGGTAACTGTCAAACGGAACCCATGTAAATGTAAGCTATACAAGCACTACAATTGCCATTTTACGGATATTTTGTCCGCGGGCTAGGCACCCATGCATAATTTCGGGACTTTCACCCACGACACTCCGGCCAACCTAATTATAATAAAGTCCATCCCCTTTCTCCTCCCAAACAAATCATCCATACATATGCAATATATTTAAACATATAATCAAACATGAAACACATCCCCTTTCCACTCCCAAACAGGCATACATATACAATGTATATAAACACGGTCATATTCAATGGCAACCATCAAAGATTAGTTTCAATTCACCTAATTGACATACAATTTCTACAACAGTCAAAGCTATCCTCCACCGATAGCTCAATACAGTTATCTCTAGACAGATATTCAATCTCAAACAAATAGTTTATTCAAAACTTCGAAAAGAATGAGTTAATACATAACCAATCCCACCATTCATATCAACACCCACTCAATTTCACATTTTTAATAAAAATTCCAATTATTTGTACACAATAATAATTTAATCCACTTAGGGCAATCTCCCCCTTTTTCCCAAATATTAAACAAGTGTCAAAATCATTAAATTAGGCATAACACATCATTTTCAAACCCTACAAGTATTTATTTCACCTTCACCCAAAACCTCTCTTTCCATATTATACCAAAACCTTAGGTTTGCTTACAACACCCTCAAATCACACCATTGTTACACAAGATACAAATAACTAAGCTAAATATCATATGTAGATGTAGAAAAAATCTCTATCTCAAAGAGAAAAGACGAGCCAAGTAAGAATAAAACTTCAAAAATGACGAAACCAACTTCCAATTGAATGAGAATGGAGATCTTGAGAAGCTCCACCTTTTTATCAAAGGGAGTAGGGTGAGAAGATCAAAGGATCTAGGCCAAAATGTAGAGAGAGAAAGAGAGTATTTTAGAGAGAGAACCTCAACTTTTAGGGTTTCGGAGAGTTTTAGAGAGAGAAAGATATGAAAAAGTGATATAAAATGTCACTTTTACGATCTGATATACATGCAGTCCGCTCGAGCAGAGAGTTTGACGCTCGAACTTCAGACAAAAAGTTTTGTTCCGCTCGAGCGCAATACAGACCTGCTCGAGCATAGAATACACACTTCCAGAACTTTTGCAGAAAACAGACAAACTGCTTGAGCGCAATAAATGACGCTCGAGCGTAATAAATGCCCCTCGAGCATAATAAATGCCGCTCGAGCGTGAAAAACACATTCTCAGCATTTTTGCAGATGCGCAAAGTACTGAATGTTTGCAAACCCCACTCGAGCACAAGAAAGCCCACTCGAGCGAGAGACCAAAATTTTGGGCAACAACATTCTAGACCAACTAACACCCAACCTGTTCCAAACACGCCCAAGATATTCCAAAACTCAAATTCAAAGAGAAAAATGAGGAAAAGACCAAAGTAACGATATTAAACCACAAGACCCAAGTCTGGAATACAACAAAAGTTGAGTCAAAACCAGAATCGCTATACAATCTCTCTTATCGCCAGTCGTTCACCATCCTGGGGCATTGAACCACCACCACTTCTCTCCCATTGTCTTTTCTGTTTCTCAATTAAAAATAAATAAATAAAAGAGTTACCAAAAATAACTGTGACAACAATTACAACCAATTATTAGGGCTAAGGCATAGATAATTACAACTATGGACATCACGGCCAAGTCAATGAAGGCCACCCCCAAAGCCCAGGTAACTTCGACATTGGACTTGAAAGACAATAAATTTAAGATATAATCATACAAGGCTTAGAACCAAGGGTAAGTCTAAGGAATCCAAGGCCATCACTAGGTCGAGGCAAGGTACGGCCACCCCAAGGTGAAGGCAACCAAGGCCAAAGCCAAAGGAAAGACAATGAGAAAAGGGTATCAATAGCTATTATTATGCTTTGAATGATATTTTATGATCCAAGTTTAGTAAAAAGGGAATTTCTCCCTTGATGTTATGTTAGAAATGGCACACCTTATTTCAAAATAAAGATAACACATAAGATGATTTTGCTCAACTATTTTAAAGTTGATCTTGCTTCTAATGTCCATTATCAAACCAAAAACTATCTTAAATATTTTGTTGAGTAAAGATATTTTCAAGAAAATTTTAATAAATGTTTTCTAGAATGGTGCATCAAAATTGGCTATCATGTCATTTGTTTCCACTGTTTGCACACAATAAAAATAATGCCAAATTGTGTTACTTTATTTTTTATGCAATCCCAACCACCAAATAGATTTCATTGTCATCTTTCTTTCCTTAATTATGTATAACTTCAATTTAAACACACTATTAACCAAAGAAACATAAATTTTGATAGAGGGATGGAGAGTGAATTTGCAAAAATTTGACACAGAAGATATATACTTTTGTTTAAAAAGAAACATGCATGAAAAATATTCATGTAGTTCAATCATATTCTCTCTTTTTTGCTGTAATAATGGTTACCTCATCCTCACATAAACACATGTGAAAGTTAAAGGGAACCTTGGAAGCTTGAGGAGTTGTTCAACAGATGAAGAAACCATAATTATTCATAAGAGTTCAAATCCAATGAAGGAAACACAAGGTAAAACCACCTAAAATTTCATTAAAAAGGCAAATTGAATTATCTTCTATCTACTTCTCTTCCTAACATGTTTTGAGGTTGGTTGGAATCCTCCTCTTTCTAGTTCTTTGCTAACTTGTTCTTTTCAAGGCCCAATACATACACATATACAACTATAATTATAGAACTGGTTCAGTTAGCAATTTAGATAAACTAAATACAAACAAATAATCTTCTTTATATGGACCAGTCAGCTGGAGCTGGAGTTGAGCTTGAACACAACTGGACAAACTTCAGAGTTCCAAAACAGGACCTAGAATAGGAATATCAATGTAAAATGTAAAGTTAACACACAGTCACAGTGCAACAAACAATCACTAGCATGTCAACTTTTACTACTTTTATCTGGCTTATGTGCTCTTCCCCATGGAAAGCTGGCTAGTCAAGCAAGGACATCAAATGTTGAATACATCCTTCTAAACAACAAAGCAAATATAAAACAACAGCATATGAGCATTACAAAGGGGAAATTTCAAGGTGCAACAAATCCCTAGTCTAAACAGGTTCACTGTAGTTGTTCCTGATGATGACATCAATCTCTATGAGATACTCAATTACATATGCCTTTATATTAAAGCAACATAATTAAAAGTTCTATATTGACTACATCTGAAGTTTGGCTCGTCATTTTGGTAGAAATTAGGAGGATGAGCCCACCACAACAAGAGATTGTGAAGGACATTGGGTTAAGTGGATTCTTTAAAATATTGGGAATACAATTCAAAGGTTGGGATGTTGAGTTAAAAAGGTCACTTAACAACACATTCAACGTCACCCCAAGGCCTAGACAAGCCTTTGCCATGAAAGGACAAGGCAATCCAATGCTTAGAGAAACCATGGGTCCTACATATGGTCACGTAGGTTAATTGAGGTCTACATCGGTCCTAAGTTGGTCCTCTTCAGTAGTTTTTGAGGTGTATCCTAAATCTTTCCCTTTCGCATTATGAGGTTTGGGGACATTTTGGATAACCTGCTGTCCTGCGCTAAGATCATCCACCTATGCATCCTCACTATCTTCTTAGACACTTCATTCATCCTCTTTTCTTTTTTCTTTTTTCAAAGTCCTTTTTGTCCTATTTCGTTTCTTCATTTTTCCATTTTGGGACGGAGGGAGTGCACTGTATTTTTGTAAGCAAGTGCACAAGATTGGAACTTCGAGCTCATATGCTTAATATGAGCTATTTCTCACAACCATTATTTACAGGTCAGGTCCAGAAATCAAATAACCATAAAGCTCCTTATCTTTCTTTCATGCTAATGTGGCCACTTTACTTTATTCATACACCTTTCATTTAGGATGACTCATGCAAAGAAAACCCAGCAGTTCTCTAAAAAAAAGTTTGATTGAATAAAAACTATCTTTACTATTAATAAGTTATTAAACTTAGGAAAATTCTATTATATGCCGTAGTTATGACGTTGTGGTCTTTAGTTATTATAACCTATTGTGCTATTAGTTATGACTTGGTTATGATTCATTGTGATGTTAGTTATCACTCATTGTGATATTGGTTATAACCGATGAAGCATGGGTATTCCGAAAATGTTTCCGCACTCGTACCGGGTACTAATACTCGTACCGATAGGGCTACATGCGCACCGGGTATTCGAAATACGTATCAGGTACTTTTTATACATTCTTTGGCAATTGGGTACTCCATGGATACTTCATGGGTACATTGAGAGTGCACCAAGCTATAAGACATTGGTGGGGATACGTTTAATTTATTAGAGAGTTCTTCTTTACTTGATGTGCCAGAGATGAAAGATGTATTATTCAATGATGAAGTTGATGGAAGTGAAACCTAAAGCTAAAAGTTTTTAAATTTTACTTAGCTTGCTTTTGGAATGAAACTTTATTTTGTAACTTCCCTATTTTATGGCATTAAAATGGCTTATAAACTTTACTTTGGTATTGGTATTGTTAAACTATGATTTCTCTATAGGTTTTGTAATTTCTCCTTTTAGTTTTGGTATTGAACTCTGATTTGTAAATTGAATTTCAAACTATAAATTATAAAAAATAAAAAATTTATTGACATACCCCAACAGTACACGTATTTTTATTTTTTTTAGGTCTTGCCATATCAGCGTACTCATATCATACCCGTACCAGTATCCGTACCCGCACTAGTGCTTCATAGGTTATGACCTAGTCTGATTATTATTTTAGTTATGATCAAAAAACTCTTTGGCTATACCTTATGCAGTATTTGGCTATGACTCGTTATTCTTTTTTTAGTTATGCCTAAAAAATGTTCAATTATAGAATGACACATCTAATAACTGTATGAAATTTATTTTAAGACTCAAACTTGACAAAGTTGCATTGTAATGTTTGAAGCAGAGGACAAAGGTCAAAGTCACTTGAACAAACTCGTTGCCTAGCTAGGCGGCCTGCCTTTGAAACTATGTGTTCTATATCATTAACTCTTAAACCACCCTTTTATCCAACCCACGACCAATTGTGGGCCTACTTGTAGCATTTCATCGAGCAGTTCAAATGCTTCACCCACATTTCATGGAAAATTTATTTAACTAAGGCCAACTTCCCTATTTTGGAAAACAATTTTTTTTTTTTTTTATAACACCACTCACCAATTATTGCAATGCAGAGAGCAACATCAACTTATCATAGAACTCAATTGAAATAAAAAATCCAAAAAAAAAAAAAAATCCAAACCCCAAACCCCATTTGAAATCAAGAACATTAAGCCCTCTGTTTCAGGGTTTTTTTAAGGTGAAAAAAGTTTGACCCAATTGAGTTTTGGAATTTTTTTCCATAGCAAAATAAATAAAATGCTTGCTCGTATGTGCATATGGAAAATAGTAAAAAGATAAGATCACATAAACAGCTCAAACGAAATTTATATAATGGTCTCCAAAATCACAATTTCATACTAATAAAAATCAAATATTACATTCAACTTTACTCAATATACCCAAAGGAACCCAATACACAGGATATACCAGAGATGGAGAAATGACTAGTTAAGAGGCAATAAAATGAAGTAAAAAGAGTGGATAGGATTTTAGGTATTTCAAGCCATACCTCTTCAATGAGAACTCTTTCAAACCAGTAAGCTACTGGAGAAGTCAGAAATCTTCAAGAACCCTTCTAGAGCAAGAGACGACAGATTCAAAGAGAAGATTCTAGGGTTCTTAGAGCCATACCGTAACAGAAAAGATGAACCAGAGAAGAGCGAAAGGGAGAGGTGAGAGAGGAAAGATTTGGGTTTGTTTGGTTTGTTTCCTTGAAAAACAAATCAGCCTTCTTGATTTAATTTAATTTTTTTTTAAAGATCTGAATTTAATTTTTTTTAAATTGAATTTTTTAAAAAAGTTTTAAATAATTTTTTTATTTTTTTAAATTCATCTTTCTTAAATATATCTAAAAAGTAAAATATTTATAAAAATATATTTTAAAATTTTAATAAATACACAAAAATACAAAGAATGTACTGAATTCTCGTATTTTTTTTTTGTATTTTTGGTATTTAGGGAATTTTTAAAAGGCTTTTTTCAAATTTTTTTTACTTTTTTGGTATTTTTTAAGTATATTTATATTATATATATCTATAAATATATATCTAAAAATTAAAAAAAAATGCTTACAATATTAAAAAAATTAATAAAATAAAAAATCACGAAAAACACAAAAATTTAATTTTCTAAAATGTGAATCCTAAAAATCCAAACTAAACTAGCTGAATTGTTTTTGAAAAAATGGAAATCAATTGGATAAAAACAAGGGCAAATTACATTGACACCTCCTGAGGTTTCTATTTAATGCAGATCCCCCTCATATTTGAAAAATTACACTTATCCCCTCCTAGATTAAAATGACATATTTACCCCTTAACCTTTATACATATAAAATAATACAGATATTTGGTTTATGTTATTTTAAAAGAAATCGCAATCATTTTTTTTTATTTAACTCATATAAAAAATTGATTTTTTTTATTTTTCGTGTTTGTTTTTTTTACTGAATTTTTTAAATATGTTAAGCAATTTTTTAAAATTTTTTAGATACACCTAATTTAGATATACTTAAGAAGTATAACATTTTGTGATTTTTTTTAAATTTACCAAAGTACAAAAATATATAAAAATTCAATACATTATCTTCTTTTGTTGTATTCAATGAATTTTTAAAAAAAAAATTGTACAAATTTTATACTTTTTAAATATATCTAGATTAAATTGATCTAATCTAGATATAATGGTGGAAATAAAATATTCATATATACAAATTTATACAAAAAAAATATCATAAAAATATTGTGATAGTGATAATGTTGTAAATATAAATCATATTTATGGGTGTTTTATTTTAAAGTGAAAAGTCACCATTAAACTATATTTTTATTTGAAAATTCTATATAAAATTTATATTTATACATCATCACTCAATAAAAATATGTTCAGGTAGAATTTGATGATGGAAACTTGTAGAATATAGTCATGATGATAGAAAGAAGAAATGGTAAAGAAAAGGGCAATATGGTCATTTAAAAAAATTTAGGATATGATATCAACAATCTAGAGAGCAATTTGTAATGAGATTACAAACTTCAAGGAGAAGAATGTAATTTTCAAATGTGAAGAGGGAATCTATATTAAACATAAACCTCAAGGGTGTTAGTGTAATTTATCCTAAAAATAAATATAAAAAATATATTTTAAAAATTATTTATGACCTCTCAAAATATAAAATTATATAAAAATAATAATTTTTTTTATTTTTTTAAATTTCTTTTACTAAATTAATTTTTAATATTTTGGAAAAAAAATTCCAAAACAAGCTGCGGAAACTAAGCCAAACATGTTTCTTAAGTCAGTTTAGTTTTTATTTGGTATAATGGCATTTTTATTTTTAGGTTGTTTCCTATCATGTCTCCTTTGTAAAAAGCAGTATATTTTTTTTTTTTACCCATACATTCTCTCTGCTAGATCGTTAAGGTCTGTTGCTGAGAGTTGGTCGTAAAATTCATCCCCATCTCCCATGGGTGGTTCATCGTACCATTCTTGATCATTCTCTCCCATCACCGGTGATTCATGAGAGACGCCATGCTGATAGTTCGGGTACTAATTTTCATCGACAAATGTCTCTTTGTTGAATGGATATCTTGGGATGGCTAGATTACAATGTATCTTCTGATGTCTATCTTCACAGACTAGATGTCCATAATTTCCATTATAGGTTAAGAGAGAGTTGCTAGCAAATTTTCTCCATTTATTGAGCTGGTCTTTGAGTGAAAATCTTCTACATGGCCAGGGTCTCCTATTGAGAAGTCCTGGGTATCCTGGGAATGTAGAGGTTCCTCTGAGGTATATTTTGTGTTTAGCTGGATTGCACCATATTCCCTTCCACTCTGGTAGTTTGCTATCTATCAAAGCTTCCACATACGGATGATGTTCTTCCATTACGCACAGTATTGCATGAGCAAGCTTGTGTCCAAAGTTATCTGTCTGATCTGGATCTGTGAAAATTAGTCTAGAGATAAAGCCGTAATCTAACAATTTTGGGGCTGTTAGATAACGAGTTTCGCCCGTAATTTCTATCTCCAACGGCTCGAATGTAGCTAAATTTATCTGGCAAAGGCAAATGCTGAAGTCTAGGTTACACTGACATCTACCAAAATGTTCTGACCTCTTATTGCATTTTTCTTCGTCTAAGCAGGGTTGCTCTTCATCTTCATAGGAATAGGTCCATTGATAAGCTAGGCCGGGGCAGTCAACTCTTGCTATGGAGAGATCTTGAAGAAATTGCTGAATAATAACTAACTCGTTATTTCTGCTATCTCCAGCTAAGGTATAAATATAGGGTTTTAGGTCTTCCATTACTTGGCTTTTCTCACAAAAGGATCGAATGATAGAATGCCTGAAGAAATACATTCTAGCACTCAATTGGTCAAATTCCTCACTAGTGAGTTGTTTGATTTATGGGCTAGGTAAGGAGGTAGGTGTTCTTTCTGGAGCTAATTTTTTAAGCTGGTTGGTTAGGGTTCGAACGATTGCTCTCAATTGTTTTTCTTCGTCTCGGAGCTGGTCTAGCTCTTCACTGACTTTCTTGCCTTTATCCATAATTTTCTTGAAATTTCTGGAAAGGCCTTCACAATGTCTGCACATTTGTCCCCATCCTAATTGACTTGCGTCTGTTTCTATAACTATGTATTCTGATTCTAAGGGAAGTTGTAGGTCTGGTAGATTTTTACAAATATCTTTTATTTTTCTAACTAGAGCTATATCTTGCTGATTGAAATATTTCTGTCCTGTGGGTGTGGTCTTACTATAAAGGGGTCCTATTATTTTACTAAGGTTAGGAATATACATTCGTGCATAATTTAAAATTCCTAAAAAAGATTGAAGTTGTTTTGTATCTTCTAATTTATCTGGATAGTCTAAAATTTTCTTGACTATATGAGACTGTAACCTAATTTTTCCATCTCCTAGCTCCATTCCTAAAAATTCTATGTAGGGTTTATTTAATACCATCTTTTTCTTGCTGATTTTTATTCCATTATTTATGAATTCTTCTAATGTTATATACAAATGATCTATGTGACTACTTTTATCTGGACTGAACACTAATATGTCATCTATATATACCAGTATAAAACTATATTTATTAAATATACTATCCATTTTGCGCTGAAATATGGAAGGTGCATTTTTTAATCCAAAGGGCATAACTAGCCACTCATAATGTCCTTGAGGGCAACAGAAGGCTGTCCATGGTATGCTTTCCTTTTCCATTTTTATCTGCCAAAATCCTGACTTACAATCAAATTTGCTAAATATCTTTGCTGTCTGTATTCTATTTATGAGTTGGTCTTTATCTGGTATATTATATTTATCATCTTCTGTATTATCATTTAATCTTTTATAATTTATCACCATTCTAGCTTTTCCTCTTTTTATCTCTGCATGATTTCTAACCATAAATGCTGCGCTCCTGTGCGGGCTATTGCTGGGTCTAATTACTCCTAGATCTAGTAATTCCTTAATCTGTGTTCTAAATTCTTCTATGTTTGCTGGTGTATGATTTATTTGTGCTGAGGTAATCCTATAATCTTTATTTTTTATATCTAGACTAGCTAAGATTTTATTTCTTTCCCAATATTTCATAGGCTGTTCTCCTAAAATTTCTGTTGATTCAGCTAATCTTATTATCTCATCTAAATCATTTTCGGTTCTCCTGTATATTGGTTTTTTCTTTATTTTTCCTATTTTTGTAAAAATTAATTCTAAATTAGCTGGTTATTTAAAATCTTCTAGGTTCCAATAATCTTCCTTATTTTCAAAATCAAATTCTTCTAAATCATAATTTTCTGTATCTAAATTTTCTAAAGACGTATTTGCTATCTCATTAGGTATATATTTTTGGACTAGGTCAGGAAAAATATTTCTACTTGGAAATAAAAAACTAGCGGGAACTGAATCTACTCCTATGGTACCACCACGCTTCGCACACAACTCTGAAGAATGGGCGATGGTGCTAAGGGCATAAGCTGTTGCGGTATGTACAGTTCACTTGAAGAAACTAATGTTGTGTTGACTGAGTAACATGCCACCTTGTAAGCTAAGGATGAAATTAAGTCCTAAGATGAAAGGATGATTCTGTCGGGTATTTCCAATCCAAACCTGAGGTAAAGGAAACCATTCTATATGCTGATCTTGAGAACCTAGATGATGAAAACTAATCTGTGCTCCATTGATGCAATGTGTGTATATCTGTTTAGTGCCGTCGGCTATACTAACTAAAGCTGGGGTTGTTAAAGTCGTGCTCCATCCTGGGGGAACTACTTGTTGTTCAATATATGATTTACTAGCTCCTGTATCTATCATGACATCTATACTAAGGGTTTTTGCTGCAAACTTGATTACACAAGAGATCTCAACTAGATTTGGTTTAGGTATAACCGGATAATTAAATGGTAAGGATGTAGTATCTGGTTGGGCTTTAGAATATTGACTAAAGGGTTGGGAATCAACTAGGTTGACTAATTCTAATGAATTCATATGTTCTTCAATCAGTTTGTCTTTTAAAGGGTACTTATTGTGAAATTGTTCTAGCTGCTGTTTAAGCTGTCTATTCTCTAATTCTAAGCATTCTATGTCAAAACTAGTCTTAGTTTCTATCTCGTGTATTTGTATCTTAAGTTCTCTTACTTGTAGTTCTAGTTCTCTAATTGTTAAATGTAATTCTCTGCTTTCTAGACTATGATCTTCTTTAGTATTTCCTAATGCTATCTTAT